GGGAAGATCTGGCGCTTCGAAGCTACGTTCAGGCCAGAGCGCGGTCGAACGAATCGAGAAAGGCACAAGGTAGATCACAGGGAATCCACGTTGGCAAATGATACCAAATGGAAAGTTGCATCGGCGTTGAGAGTGGCAGGAAAAGAAAGGAGTCATGACCTCAACAGTACTGTATATCTAAAATGTGCCAGAAGCGTGAACATGGAAAGATACCCCGCGTAGAAAGAGTCGCATCCCTTGCAGGATAGCAAATCTACCCTCGTCCACCGTCTGAACTTTTTACATTGCGATCTACAGCACTGTCAAACTCCACGCTTGATGTCTCCACCAAATATGAGGTCTTTTCAATCATAACTGAAATCTTCGACTTGCCAAAGTTCAACGCCACAGATTGAGCGCCTTTCATCGCTTCCACACTTGAGGAACAACGAATGGATAGATCGGATGCAAACATCCTATCAATAACACGATAGGCAAATTCGGGTATTCAGTGTTGCCCTCAGCTGAAAATAGACGAACTGTACCTGCTCCATCTCTCAAACAAAAACAAGCAGGATGGCAAATTGGGTTTGGAGCAACGGTATACGATTTTTCTCTTTCTATCCTGTTGTTCTTTTTTTTTCTCTCTCTTCCTGTGAGAGTCGTCGTTGGTGGACATGTCGATGCCAGGCCCTAAACCGGTGAAACTCTACCCAGGCGCCTGAAACCTTCTTCACCTACCTAACCCTCCAATCCGTCTCACTCTCTCTTCAAGGTGAATGATTTAGCTTCGTAGCAGATCATGTCAACTCGATCGAAGTGGGAGCTCGGAGTAGTTCGGCCGCGCGATAGGAATTCATACCCCGCTGACAGGAGGATATGGAACTCAACGCGGAAATTTGTTTTCTTTCCACCTACTGGGGGGGGAGGGTTGAGGCTCCCAGTACATGTCCACCATCCATGTCAAGGACGCACCGTCCTATGATATCATGTGAAACCCGACTTACGAACACGCCCAGGACGCGCTAACGAGGACAGTTGCATGATAGGAAGCCATGCGCCGCAGAGAATGGACAATGAGAGAGCGTTTACGAGTGAGTCAATTGAAATTGATCTGCGGGTACTCGGTCAGGGATGCGCTCACTTGCTCTCCATTTATTCGTGCGCCCTTGACCTACTGCATGAGAATTGACTGTCATGGTGCGTGTGTTTCGCTGGTTGAAGTATAAGCGAGGACAGGCTTTGCGCATCTTTTGACCTTTCTCCCAGATCGCTTTTCATCGGTTAGCGCGTAGGCAGGTTCTCTTTCCCCGGATTCTCAAACTCGACGGGAAGATCGTCAGCAACGCTCAGCCACCAGCATCAAATTTGATGTGCTTGCAATAGGGTCGGCGTCCTTCCCAGCCAAATCTGCACATCTATTCCAACCGATATTGGGTTGAGAGATTCATCTGTATGCGTCGAGCTCTTCTGCCAAGAGCATTGATCATCGATCCTCATCATTTGGCCATATGACAATTGTCCTAGTTTGCCCAAACGTTCAAAGCACAATCCTGTGAAGAAAAGGGCCTGGCTGCGTACCTGGGCAGCGGGATGGTCGATAGGAACGTGTCCCTCCTTTGAAGACTACACTCTTTGGCTCTGAAACCCACCCAGCAAAGGATCGTCGGTACATTGTCTGGTCATACTCTGACCGTGATTGATGCTCAACAAAAAGAAAGAAGACCTTTGACTAGTTGGTCTCACCAAGTCAGGCAGCTCATCCCACCTGTAGTCCAGTGGTGGGCTCCCAAAGCCCTGTCGACCTCGTATCAGTTGCGCCCCATATCCCTGTCGATCGTGGGTCGAGACTTGTTGAGTCTGTCATCCGAAGTAGCTCAGTCGCCAGTTGAGAGAAGGTCAGGATGCGGGAGGTTAATGGCCAGCTCCATCCTCATTTCCACGGCTAGAGAACGGCAGGTCCGTACCGTCCAAAGGGACCAGGTTCATCAGGTCTGGCCATGGATCATGAAAGGGAATGTGGAGTTCGACCTCTTGACCGGGGGGATTTACACATCTGTGATGATTGGAACGTACCCACGACGTAACAGCAGCGCCGGTCGTCGTCGAATGGCGACCGTACACCTACAGCATGGCCTGTTGTATCGTAGGTCCGTACAGAAATAGTCCTCTACCCATGCTTTTTTTTTCGTGTTTTTTTTTTCCTTTTTTTTTCTTTCTCTCGACAATACTGCTATATTTCTTGAGAATTATCAATATCGACCCTTGTCGGGTTCGCGATATACCCGATTCCGAATTGTCCAGTCGTACCATACCGCGCTGGCTCGACTTGCATCATGCTCTCCAACTTATGGGAGGACCGAAGCATGCAGTCCTATTGTTGTCTGCTGGAACGGCGCAGACTTGTGATTTGGTCACTTCGCCAGCGAGGAAAAGCAGCATCACTGTTTGCAGCACTGCTATTCACTCTCGCTTCTTCCTCACATTGTTCAGCGAATTTTACTCGTATCGGTCTGGCAAGAGACAGGACACTTGCTCCGATCAATGGCAGAGCAGTTGCTGGATAGTAGTAGTACTTCATTTTGCACTGAGTCGTTAGCCTTCCACCCCTTTTCATCTGCGTAAAGTCAGTCCAATCAAGTGATTGCTTGGTGTGGAAAACTTTTCCCACTGACAGGCCACTAAGTTGGCGATATCCGCAAGCCCCGTCGTCGGGGGGATCCACCAGAAGGGGCAATGATCAATCTGGAGTTCTGTACAGTTGGTAAGCTTGTAACATAACGGCGGTACTGCTGGGAAATCTGTGACAAACGACATACAGTACAGCACTCGACATGATCACATTCGTGAGTCGTGAGACTCGTGACTCGTGACTGCATGCATACGGAGAAGTATGTAATTACATCAAAGTCACGGTCCAGGAACCGCGTCAAGGGCGACGGGACGAAACCAGTGTCGCCCTCGTACTCGTACCTGACCACATTCCCACAGAGCCTTTGAAGTAGAGATGCTGCTAGTAGTAGAAGCATCACAGTGGAATGTGAGCACTAGAGAGTAGGGATTCAGGTCATCGAGGACATGTTCAAGAGGTCTAAACTTATGCCTTCGGACCGGGCCCCTGCCCTCATTCAAATAGGTTTATCTCCCTTTCGCTGGGGCAAAATCTCACGGCGTGTTCATGATGTAGTTTGTATCTATGTAGTTATACCTTATTGTATACACCTTGGTGGACGGATGACCATTCGATCGCCTCCCCTGCGCTGCCCGATCAGTACATACATACTCACCACTGTGAGATTATTGAGTTTGACCCTTCTGAGTACAACGAGTCCAACGCCTCTCAGTCCATCAACCTGAGTACCTCGGAGTCACCGCCTCTCCGATTTGGAGAAGAGCCCTTTTATCTCATGGCGGTAGAGACAAATCAAGGAATTTCTTATTTTGCATCTGAACCTCCGTCACAGGTTGCCTGATGGCCGCACATTCTCCCGATCGTCATGCATCAATCACAGCCCAAGATTTTGCCAGTGGTTCCTCAACTTGAGTACCTCGGACTGGCCGTTTCGCGCTGGCTCAAATTGGCTTTCTTTATTTGCTGACCATTCATCACACTCCTATTCGAGCCGATGCGACCGCACATCGGGCATTCGTGCTAGTGTGCGTTGATAATGCCGTCTCGGACATGGACAGGTGTTGTATGGTAATTTTGATACAGCGTTGGTCAAATGAGTATAGTACATATGTATTACCATACTGGGGTTTGAGCTGTTTACAATACATACCATGATTCATGCAATGGCCCCATCAGCCCAAACCATATCCCCGAATGATTTCAATCCTGAGCAGAGAGACTCTTCCCTTCTTTGGGCCCATCATCCATGTTGACTCCCTCATGGTACTGTACAAATTTGGCTTTTACGGTAAAATCAAGGATATTGCCGTTCTCGTCTAGAAATCTTTTATTTTTCACGGATTTTGCCAGAAACCTCCAAACTCCCTTACAATTCTTATTCACATTAACACCATCGACTTCGGCCCTGTCCTCATCGACGGTCCTGTCGGGGATTTTCGAAGATTTTTATTTTTCCTTTCCTTTAGTAGCTTTCTCTCCCCCGCCCCCTTCACTTTCCTCAATCATCTATCAAGAGGAAGGGAAACCCTAAAAAGGCCAAAAAAAAAATCAGAAAACTGGAAAATTCATCCCAAAATGGAGCAGAAATAAGAAATTCATAAATTCCAAAATGGCAACAAATCATTCGAATTCATCATTTGAATCTTAAAGGAGCCCCTCTTCTCACACGCTGCTTTTTTGTCATTTGGTACGGTTCCAATCCGCGCCGTTATTTCTCTTGTGAGGGTCTCCTCTTGCTTTGGAAAAAGAGGAGTGTCCTCCAGTGTGGACACTCATTCATAACCAACCTAAAGGAGCTCCGGCCCGTTCTCGCACATCTCGAAAGCTGTGTTGCTCTTCCTTCCATAAAGTAGAGTTGACCTGCTGGATCTTATTTCATCCTCCCTCTCCTACACCCTCTCCACTTCATCATCTCTCTACATTGGTGTTCTGCGACAGTCGTTGCCGTTGTTGTCGATTCAGCCTCCGCTCCTGATCGTTGTACTGATCTACGGATCGGGTCGCGAACTGTGTCGCTAGTGAGATGAGAGATTGTCTTTGACCCGACGATTACTATCTTTGGCCCATATCCGCATCGCAATACCCCCGGTGCTTCCTCTTCATTCGGACTGACTAGGACCATCCCGGATCCCTACATTGAATCAACCAGTTTGAGTCGGATTTTGCACTTTGCGTGCTTAGACAATCCTTTTCTGTTTCTTTGGCTCCTCGTCGCCTTCTCATCTTTTGTCAAACATTTTGGAATCGCCTTATTTGATCATCCTCCAGCGCTTGATTTCACGATCCATCGCTTCTTCGCCTTGACCTCGCCGCGCGACTCGGTCTTACTCTCTGTGGGGGAGGGGAGCAGACATCAGGGAGTTTGCTTTCGGACACTGAGATCGTCGCGATGGCTCCAGGAAACGGTCGTGATTTTAACTGCTCATGGCCGCACTGTGGCAAGGTATGTAGCTCTCAAATCTCGGCAGGATGTCTCTTCAACGGTGGCTCGATCTGTGAAGCCTTGACCACACGATTTCCTCGGTTATCGACTTGGCGCGGTACTGACCATCACTTCACCACTTTAGTCGTTCAACCGCAAGTCAGACCTTTGTCGTCACTACCGAATCCATACCAATGAACGGCCTTACCATTGCACCGTCAAGGACTGTAACAAGAGCTTCATCCAACGCAGCGCTTTGACCGTTCACTCCCGGACCCACACCGGGGAGAAGCCTCATGTGTGCGACCACGAAGGCTGTCAAAAGGCCTTTTCGGATGTAAGAGCTTCGCTGGAAACTCTCGGGCATCGGCGTCCCCTTTTGCGATGAATTGGACAGTTACTGACCATAAGATTTCCTGCTGCAGTCTTCAAGTCTTGCTCGCCATCGTCGAATTCACACCGGGAAGCGGCCTTATATATGCCAGGAACCCACATGCGAGCGAAGGTAATGATCCGATCAACCGAGTCAAGCGCATTGCTCCCTTTATGTTTTCGCCCAGCTACTGACCAAGTTCGTGGGTATAGTTTCTGCCGCAAGACCACATTGACCAAGCATCAACACCGATCACACCCACCTGGATCCTTGACTCGACCATCCTCGGAAGATGCGGGATCGGAGCATTCCTATCATCACCATCACCACCATCCCACACCGGTGACAGTCTCGATGCCCGGTGGAAACGAACCGTACATGCTTCCGCAGCAACCGTATTACTCGCATTCTGCCACCCCTAACCATGAGTTCTACTCACCCTCGAGTGTGGCCATGAACAGTGTGCCTGTGCATGAAAACTCCGCTCCGATGGGAGCGCCCACTGTTCCTGTGACATCGGCGATGGCCATATCACATGCCTCACCACACGCGCCGCAACACCACTCTCTCCCACCACCACCACCACCACCGCAACCGCAGCCCCAGCCTCAGTCGCAGTCGCAGCCGCAGCACCCACATCAGCCGCATCACCACCATCAACAGCCGCAGCATCCTCACCCGCAACACCAGCAACAATACATGCAAGTCATGCAGCCTCGCTATGATACCATTCCACGTGCCAACTTTATGTCCCCGGAGTACCACCAGGCGCCATTTGCAGGCCACCAGATCCAGGAGGGACAGCCTCTGATGGTGGGATACCATCAAAATTTTCAGTATAAACCCCCCACCCGGATCCTGAATCAACCGGAGGGGACTGACTGGGGTTTCTTGGGTGTAGGCTGAAAGGGGATCGCGTCTGACTTTGCGCCATGGTTCAAGTACTTCGCTGACTGGCCTGACATTATGCCCGTGACGACTATTGCTGCAGCTGCTTTTCCTTTCGTCCTCGTCCTCTTTCTCGACATGACCTCTTCTTCTCTCTTATCACTCATGCTCTTCTTTTGCTTCGTTCCTTTGTGGACGCCTCGATTCCCCCCAATTGTTACTTGTTGAGAGGTCTCAGTCTGGTACCCCTTGAATTTGTACTGATTATATAGTGTTTGACCGTGTTCGGTGACTTTCTTTTCCTTGGCGAAACCGGGTTGACGATACATGATGTTTTCTGAACTGGCACCTATGTGGTCCAGACGTGATATGCTGGAGTCCTCCTCTTTGTACCTGTCTGACCATCTCCTTCCTACCTTTTGTTCATTCTATTTATCTTCCTGATGATTGTGTTCCCTGATACCTCACCTCGCTGGCATCCATTCCTCTGAATTGTGGAAGATGGCGATTCTGCTTAATTCGTACAACTCGCTCCATCCCCATTATATAATCACGACCCAAATCGCAAGTGAGCGCCATGTGTTGCTTGTCTCTGATATTTCCAGAACTCAGACCAGATCATGACCGCACCAACTTCCTTCACCATACATGTGCTTCCTTGTAGTCAACCCATCTTGAGTCGCTACTTGTACTTGGTATTAATTAGGTGGATATCCTCAAGCGATCCAGTTCCTCGCTCTCGCCTCCGACCCTCACCATCCACGCTATATGCCACGGTGATTTGACCGCCAAAAGCCGAGCTCGAATCAGCACGCCTTCACGCGGGCGCTAGACTCCACCTGCCCTCTTGAATGTGGGTCTTCTTCGCCGAGCCACATCGTTCCGCTTCAACTCGAACTTCGATCCACAGGACAAACTTACAACAATATTGGGCTCGGGAAGGAGGGTGGGCCTGATGTGGTGATCTGATTCGGTGCCACTCCTATCTGACGGGGCCACAACTCGGACACTCAGTACCCTATGGAGACCGGCACAACCAGAGTCCTGTAGCGATGTAGACCTGGGTTAGAAGTGTCGGTGCACCACGAGTACTCTATCTCCACTCTATGTGGTCGTTACCCTGTTCATGTATGGTCCTTGATATATGTATCACGATCTAGTAGACAGCTTTCTGTGAACGTAGAACTTGGTGTGAGGTTCCTGTTTCTCAGGTCTTGCTTGAATAATAGAAAGTGCATCAGGTAGGCTTGTTTTCTTGTACCTTGGTACTGATTCATGTAAACTACATCACGTGACGTGACAGGCCTGGGGCGAGTCGGGGATAAGGTTTCCGCATCACCTATCCTCAGCCGATCAAAGGTGCCAACCCAGACCATACTGGAAGAGATACAAATACTGATCAACTACACAACAAACCCACTAGATTCTGGAATTATCCAGTATCAGCTCAGGTAGAGCCGCAAAGTCAACTTCGCAAGGACCATTAACCCAAACAAGTCCACACGACTCAGGCGAGATAAAAGACACATCCGCAATCCCACAAGATCTCTTGGCTGAAAGGCCGAGTTAATTAACACTGAGCAGAGGGAGAGGGGGATACTCGTTTATTTCGGAAAACAAAGCCGCATCACTACTCCTTCCTCCCATGTGGGAAAAACACGCGCTCGGCGATTGTCGATTCGCTCGCTCGTTGATGGAGTAATCATGGCGTCGTGCCGTCACTGTGGATGGCATCGTTAGCGGACATGCATGACTCGTGACTGGTAAGAGCACTAACTTAGGGCCCCCTCTCACATCCCTCGCATCTCCGACTCCAGTCCTGCCTCGCTTACTCTATCTCATCCCTTGATCTGTCCATTTTTGGGGGGCCATATTTCTGCATGGAAGAGTCACCAATAAATTAATATACCCAGAGGGTCGACTTATTCAGTACTGCACATTCAATGTGCACAGTGCACACCAGGTGGACCGCCACGCTACATTTGACATGCGCCTCCCTTGACAGCCGCACCGTTCGCACCACCACCACCACCACCACCACCACCACCTAAGTGATCGGCTCCAGAACGAAAGGTGACCAAAGTAAAGCTCAGACCATGTCTCGGGAGCAATCATCACAACGAGCTTTAAGTTTTTGACCTCTCGTTTCGCTTCCTCCACACCGGCACCTTCATGTGCTGCGTGGCCCTGGATTACGTATGCAGGTCAGATGGATATTTCACAAATCCAGCGACCATGAACTTTATCTGCCATCTCGATTTTTCCAACTCACCACTTTCTTTCAGGTCGGGCGTCTTTCCCGAGATTACTAGCCATCTTTCCACTCGCCAAATCACATCGCCCGAGATTGTCGAAGGGAGGAAGCGGACATTTAAGTTCCAATGAGATAGTACCCTGGTTCGTCGCTTATCTGCATGACCCTTCCCCCCCCCCCCCCCCCCTATCCTCCGCCGTGCCTATTAGACCAGGCCACCCATCATCGCTTGCTGTGCCGTTTGGTGGCTGTCTGACTCGAATCGGGGTGAAGAGTGGCAGGCCTTGATCGATCATAACGTGTGTCGATTTTGCATGCATTTGCGTTTAATCCCTTCGCCACGGAGCCCAACATGAGACATAAATAGAAAGTGACAAGGCTCTGTTAGCGCCTACAAAAAGCCCCATTCGTATCCCTGGCCTGGGCTTTGCTTCCTCGGGTATTTCTAGTTCTACTGCAATTGACATGTGAGAACATTGTGATTGTATTCCGGGGATATACAGCACAAAGGGGAGTGCACACGCAGACCTACAGTAGATGATCTTCGCAGCACCTATTGCTAGACAGAAAGACTCCGGTGTCGTGTGGGACATGGCGAAGGTCATTCTATATGGTTTGAATTTCTATGCTCCCGGACTTTGGAAATATCGAGACTCTGTTCATCTTATCACGTAAGATGAGGAACACGGGCACCTTGCTGTCTCGGCACGCTCGTTTTTACTATCTCGGTGTAGACGAGTGAGAAAGTTTACATTGTCTACTTGGCGCCCGAAGCACACTCACCCTTTCTGGCCATTTTCGATTTTACACTATTATATCAGGGGTGAAATGATGGTGGAGTTGACTATTTCTATCTTGAATCTTAAACCTTAGATGTATAGGCACTATCGAGCTGTTCGATGTTGGTACAGTATTGGGTAGTATCGGGCTATCAGTAGTCGTACATAGCTCTCGGCTTCCATCTAGTGTCTAGATCAAGCAGTTCGCAGCACTAGGGTAGATCACCTCCTACCTTACCCGAGCAAGCCAAGCCAAAGGCAAAAAGACAAAGCGAATTTCAACTCTAATAATAATAACAGATAAACGGAGAGCTTACGTAGCACTACTGTTTCTCATTTTTTTTCTCCTTTTTTCATGCATGCTAAAGGAGCGCCTCCCACTAGTGGGCTGCCTCGCTTTCTACATCACGATCCATTCTGGCCCCTCCAGCGCTTATCATCATATTAACCAGAACTAGATAGGTAGACTGTACATTCAATTGCGCGCCTCCCCCCCCCCCCCCCCCCCTCTTCCGCCTACTGCTATCCCTTGAAGCCACGCGGGACAAGCGATAAAGCTTCTCGCCGTTTTTCCCATCTCCGACCCCCCATTCCACTCCGACTCGCGACTGGAGCACCGAGCACTGCCGTCCTAAAGAGGATCCAACGTCAATTGCTAGGCCCTCCTCTAAATCCACTCCTTGCATGGTTGTCCAGCAAATGGAGGTAAACTTTCATTTGGTCAGGACAAAATAGAGACAGCACGCCACAAGTCAGGGTTCCTATTCCGCCAATCACCAGACCCGGGGATCATCATGACTGATGTACTCAGTGCCTGTTGAGAGTGTGATGGTCACAAGAGCAAGGGTGAGTTTTCCTCTATATCACGGTTGCTCGACAAGAGGTACGGTGTCGATAGCAAATTAGGATGTGGGTGGCCTTGCGAACTAACACGTGCGCCGAGGACTGGGATTGAACTTGTGCACACTGCACAGGGGAACCGCTGGGCTGAGAAAGACAGTAATCAGGTCAAATTTGATTGAACGGTTTGATAGTCACCTGCACTCTGGGTATTGTTCATTCGAAGGTCTCCATGCACTACCGTCATGATAGAGTCTCGGAGCCATGGTTCCATCCCTCTCTGTAGTCGTAACGTGATGTGTATTAGAGTCGCAGTGCAGGCATTATTTGCAGTTGACCCAAAGCAATCGAAGCTAAAGATTTTTATCGACCAATAAATCACACCCTTCTACTATAAGCTAGATATCTACTAATCTAGTCACCTTGTTGACGACCTCATCTGCAGCCTTTTAAATGACTAGGGGACACCCTGGATAGTATCTGAACATAGTATACAGTTTGTGAAGTTTGAACTTCTCGTGAAGCTACATGGAATACCAGGTACCTAGTTACCTACCAGCAAATTATAAGCTGAAGCTAGACTCAAAGAGGCAACGCGCTTGCGGGGCTATCCCCGAAATCAGCCCCCATTTATTGGTGGTAGCTTGCCGCCAGCCGGCACGCTAATATCGATTACGGTCTCATTCAACGAGATGTGGGGCAGAACCGGGTTCCGTGGCGTGAAGGGCCAAGGGGGAATAGGTGCAGGTGGTGGAATTGATGGCCAGAGAGAGGTACCGTGCTGAAATAGATGCTGGCGTGTCCACGGCGACCTCCGACAGGATTGTGGAAATTACACGCCTCGTTGATATTGGGTTCCATGACTGGCAGTCGGGGTAAGATTGAACCTAGATATTGTAAAGTGGAAAGTATAAACTAAAATATAATACAGCGTTAGAGTAGAAGAATGGTACATCGAAGGTTCTATTAGTTAGTATGGTAACTTTCTTCTCAATCAACCTTGACTAGGTACCTTACAGTATATACATATATCGTACGTACATGAAGCCGGAGTTACTTGTTAATGGACACTGGAATTGGATCGATCTCCTGACCTCGCACTCCTTACCACATCCATATTAGTACGGCTGGGTACCGATGCACCG